CACAGGGCGGTATACAAATAAATATTATTATTATTATTATTATTACTCCACCCTCAATCGAGATCTTAGGGCTGCTTACAAATAGAATTGCAACAGGTTAAAAACATTAAAATGCACTCATCCTGCCACATTCACTGGGGTTAGGGGCTTAGGACCCGCATGAATGTGGAAAAACTGCAAATAACAAAAACACAATGCTTTTACCTGAGAGAACACATGTCTAGGAATCTCTTAAGTCCTCCAGTGCAACTCTGTGGTCAACATCTGCCAGACATTGACCATAAAATTGTGCTGGAGGAGCAACAAATGCCTAATGGAGTCTTCTCTCCAGGAATCTCTAGGTCCTTCAGTACTACTTTTGGTTAAAGTTCGCCACAGAGTTGCACTGGAGGACCTAGAGATTCTTAGAGAGAACGTATTAATAAAATCTGTGAATAATCAAAGCCACAAATGTGGAGGAACAAGTGTAATTGAAATAAGCTAAGAACATATTATACAATATAATGAATTAAAAGCATTTTAAAATTAAATTTAAAACTATATCTAACAATCTTTGGGTTTTATTAATTAGACCCTGCAGCTTTGGTGAACAGCCACATTTTAACTTGACTCCTAAATAACATGAGTCTTGGCACTAATCAAGCCTCCATGGGGAGAGCAGGCCTTTTTCATTTGTATTCCGCCTTCCTCCCGGAATAGGACCCAAGGCAGGTTCCAGAAATAGTAAATTTAGAACATTTGCAATAAAATTTAGAAGCAACTAATATAACTTCCTGAAACGCATCAAAATCATTTTAAAAAACAACCAAAAGTTTAAAAGATTAATAAAACACCCCTAACAAAAAAAAGTCCCCTTACTGATACATTGCTTAAACATAAATTATTTTGCCTGCCAGCAAAAGCAAATAGAGGAGGAGGCCAGTCTTTCAAATAGTTTGGACCCAAGCCATACAGGGCTTTAGAGGTCATGACCAGCACTTTGAATTGTGCCCAGAAACAAACCAATAGCCAGTGAAGCTGTTTTAATTGTATACTCCTATAACTGGCCCCAGACTGCAACATTTTGGACCTGCTGAAGTTTCCGAACAATTCCCAAAGGCTAAGGGCTTTGCAAACTGCCAGAAATAGTGCCAATTGAGTCCACTTTAACTGCCCTGGCTCAGTGCTAGGGAATCATGGGAATTGTATTTTTTTCTGAGACATTGAGCCTTCTCTGTCAGAGAGCTCTGGTGCCACAATAAACTACAGTTCCCATGATTTCCTATCACTGAGTCAGGGCAGTTAAAGTGGACGTAATTGGCACTATTTCTGGCAGTCTGCAAAGCAGCTTCATTTCATTTATATACCACTTCATATCGTGCTATGAGATGTCTAAGCGGTTTACAACTGTAAGCTC